CATAATACCTAACGGCTTATATAATGTCATTAAGTGTACCTATCGTATTTAGTTTGAATAAATCAGTAATGTACCATTTTAATGAGCAATGCTGCAGATAAAGCATGTTTTTCTTGTGTTTACCCCCTGTGACAGTTTAGATTTAGATATTTTATGCAGGTCCTGGTACTGTGCTGCTCTTCTTGAGGGAGGGCCTAATGGTTATTACCCGCTTTTGATTGGTTCAGCGGACTGATTCTGCTCTCGCCATTGGATACTTTCAAACTAACGAACAAATCAAAAAACCGAAATGCGTCTTGGATGTAACGAATAACGAAACGCTGGATAGAAATGTAGTGAAGTAGAAAGTACAGATACTTACTGTTAAATGTAGTGGAGTAAAAGTAGAAAGTATCCATTATTAAATCTACTTAAGTAAAGTACAGATACTTACTGTTAAATGTAGTGGAGTAAAAGTAGAAAGTATCCATTATTAAATCTACTTAAGTAAAGTACAGATACTTACTGTTAAATGTAGTGGAGTAAAAGTAGAAAGTATCCATTATTAAATCTACTTAAGTAAAGTACAGATACACGGAAATTGTACTTAAGTACAGTAACGAAGTACTTGTACTTCGTTACTTCCCACCACTGGCTACGGGTGTCCACACATCAGGAGGCTAATCCCAAACTGCAAAGCTACAGCTCCATATCGAACCACCATTTCTGCTTCTCCCATCTTTGTGGAGCGAAATAGCCTCCTTTTACTTTAGCCAACAGCTTCTGCTTTTCTCCTGAATCTCCCCTGAACTTTCACATCTCTGGTTCGATGCTGCAAACCTGCTCTGTACTCATAACTGATCCCTGAACAGCAGAACCTCTACATACGAATTTAATTCATTCCAGGACTGACTTTGTATGTTAAATATTGGTATGTTGGTCCAAATCTTCCATCAGAATACTCTGTAATTCCTAGAATTGGTTCCAAAAACCTACGATAACTCCTTAATAAATACTGCAGATAATTACACATAGCAAGAAAACAAATGACTTCTAGAAGAGAGATGGAAAAAGAAATGAATGATAAATAAATAATCAGTAAAAAGGGTTTTTACTGTCCCTTTATCTCAGAGACTGAAGAACGGAGGTAGAGGTGGAGACTGAGATACAGGACGTACCCTAACTCACTCTGACTTTACAAAAGGAACTTTACACCAACTTAGACTAGTTATTTCTATCTTATTTAAATATTTTTTTCTCTATGACTTCGAAGTATGTTGTTACTTCGGGTGTCGAGTCGAATATTTGATCGAATTTCACTTCGGGATGTTGGAAAACTCGTCTGTTTAGGCCTCGAAACAGAGGTTCTGCTGTATATTCTGGATTAGACTCTTGTACTTTATCTTTTAAAATTAATGCTGAGCTTGTCTCAGCTTGTTTTCTTTATGCTGCCAGTGCCCAGTAATTCCCAAATTCTATAAACATCCGACTTTCGAACTGTCTGAGGGGGGGTTTCAGTCATGATTTGGGTTGTTCTGCTGTGTGTTGCTGTTACAGTCTGCTGAATGTACAGAGGGGGAAATAAGTATTTGACCCCTTGCTGATTTTGCAGGTTTGCCCACTTACAGAACAAGAAAGAGAGAATCCCAAAGAAAATTCCAGAAAATCACATCATATGAATTTATAAAAATTGATAACCATCTGATGAGGAAAAATAAGCATTCTTTGTAAGTGGGCAAACCTGCAAAATCAGCAAAGGGTCAAATACTTATTTCCCCCACTGTAGGCCTAAACCAAGAGGATCCTCATCTGGAACTCACTTTATCCCACAGAGACTGCAGCTCGTCCTGGCCGCCCAGGTCCCAGAACATGAGGCGAGCTTTGCCCACGTCGATGGTGCCGACTGGGGGGGGAGAAAGAGGAGATGAGATTTAGACTTTAGAGAAAGTAAATAGTTAGATCAAATTGTTATAATTATAGCCAAGTCCTCCAACTGCATATAAATAATTGAGTTAACTAAATAAAGAATAATTTAAAACTGAAAACACTCTGCAAGTCTCTGAAAAAATGTAAATAGATTTTCATCAACCTCTGGCAGGCTTATTTGACTTATTTTACTAGATTTCAGGCTTTAAATTAACATTGGATACCATATACACAATTGAAAACGTGGGAAATTGTTTTCCTTTAGAAGGAAATCAATATGGATTTTTACTAAGAACATGTCTGTTGTCCGATCATTCAGCCAGAGGAGGATGCCCACAGAGGTTGTCTTGCTTTTTTTCCTTTTCAAAATCTCTGTTCAACAGTTTCTCCAAAGGATGCTAAAAACATAGAAAACAAATTTCAAGAATATAAAAAAAATGCTGCATTTATTTTAAAAAGGTGATTTTTGCATATTTCATTGCTCTTTATTTGTGCTGGAGATTGACAATGAAAGAAATATCAGTATCCAAAACTGCTCCGAAGGACAAAAAGCTAACTTCTGACAGTTTTAGACATGGTGGAGGGTGAGGGTGTGGTGTTTTAGGATGATACTGTTTGTGATTTAGTTGTTTTTAGACTTAGACTTAGACTTGTACTTTATTGATCCCTTGGGAAGACCCCCTCAGGAAATTAAGGACTCCCTCAGGAAATTTATGCAGCTGTGGCACCTGATGGCAACATTTCTGTTTTGTCTTG